TTTTTTGCCTTTTTTTTGCCCCACCAATGAGCCTAGCCCCAATTGTTCAACGACTGGATAGTGCTATCCTCTAGATTAGCCTCTATCCAGTGGATAACGCAATTGATTTTTTCTGACAACTATCCACCGGCGGATAGCGATTTATCCCGCGGTAGATATTGCTATCCAACCTTTGAACAACAGGGGCCTGGGGCCCGTTTCTCCGAAGTGCCGATAGTTAACGGGCCCCGAAACCTGTTGTCATTCATCTTCAAGATCGAGGTACTAATAGTTCTATGCAGAGAAAGAAACTTGATAAAACTATCAGGTAACAACAACAAAAAAAAGGTCAGTTTGTTTGCTAGGACTGGGGAATTTATATTTGAATTTGAATATTTCGAGCCCGAACAGTCTCCGGGATTCTCGAGAAACGGGCCCATGGTCGAAGACTTCAGAAGTGACATGATTTTTGTTCTTGTTTTTTGTTGTTGTTGTTGTTGTTGAGTGAAGTGGCAAATTCTGTCATTAACTGCTAATTTTTACCCTGCATCAACACAGGCAAGATGACTATGACCGAGGCAACGATCGATATGATGGTTATGGCCGAGATAGACCCGACAGTCGTCGGTATGGGGATCGATATGGCGGCGACCGTGATCGTGGCGGCGGTTTTGGCCGAGATCGCTTCGACGATCGTCGGGATCGGTTTGGCGGAGATCGTGACCGCTTTGGTGGAGATCGCGATCGTTATGGCGGAGATCGCGATCGGTACGGCGGAGATCGCGATCGTTATGGCGGAGATCGTGATCGGTATGGAGGAGATCGTGATCGTTATAGCGGAGATCGTGATCGGTATGGAGGAGATCGCGATCGTGGCGGCGGATATGGCCGAGACCGGTACGATGATCGTCGCTATGACGACCGCCGAGGTGGTGATCGGTATGGAGACAGAGATAGGAGGCATGACAGTTACGATGACCGTGACTCAGATACGTGGCGTGACAGTGATCGTGGTCGCGATGCGAGAAGCGGTTTTGATAGAGACGAGCGCGAACCAGGTAGTAACAGATTAATCATGTATTTTGTTTTGAAACTAATTACTATTTACTGTCCAATTACTGGAGCAACGAAACTCTCAGAAACCTCCCCTTTCATTAAACTTCTGTGCAGCTCCCTTTTCACTGCTATTGTTGTCAGGGCTAGAGACACTGTTTTTGTTATTAATCACACATAGTTGCCCCATTGTTGCGACATTGTTTCGATCAGTTGCTACATTGTGCCAACATTGCAACGCTACGTTGCGTTAAAAATCGTCGTTGCGAATCGTCCCGTTTAACATCACCTTTAGCTAATTAAACAACTCGTTCTGAAAGCTTTGTAGAGCTCCTCCGATTAATTGAGTAAGTGAGAGTTCTGAGGACATATGCAATATGGATTAAAAATTCGTTCTCATGCTGTTATTTTGGATTTCAGATTCACAAAAAAATTAAGTGCAAAAGTATATTAAGTTATCTGCGGTATGTTTGTGCTGGTCAGTGTAGTTCTGGAAGGAAGAAGTTGTATAACTGATCGTACACAATCCTCTCGAACACTTTGGCGACTACGGAAATGAAAGATTTGATGTAGACGTCAACTAATGTTAGGCAACAAAAAAACACTTCCTTTAAAAACTAAAATCTGAACTCAGGAGATCAGTCTGGGCCAAAAAATAACTAAGGAGAATTTGACTTTGAAGGCGGTTGTATTGTTTTTCATTTGCAGTTAAAGAAAGACCCAAACTTCACCTACAGCCCCGAACTAAACCATTAGAAGATAAAAGCGAGCCTGTCTCTGGCAGCTCCGTATTTGGTGGCGCCAAACCAGTTGATACAGCAGCCAAAGAGCGAGAGATTGAAGAAAAGCTCGCTCGACAAAAGCTTGAAGAGGAAACCAAGCTTGCTAGAGAGAAGGAGGGACAGAAAGAGCGCCGAGAGCGAGATGACTGGTCACGTATCTCCAGCAGCAGGCCGCGTCGCGACAGTAATCGCTCAAATGAAGGTGAACGTGGTGCGAGGGAACATAGGGATAGCTCTGATTATCGAAGCCGTCGCGACAGTGGGAGGTCCAGTGACGAGGGCACTTCTGGTAAGGACACTGAGGCTCCTTCTCGTGACAGCCCGCGTGGAGGTGGGAAAGAAACCAAGGAGACCCCTAAAGAGCCCCCTAAAGACGCCCCTCCGCCTACTGTGAATGTATGGGCGAAAAGGATGGAGCAACAGAAGGCAGCTTCTGCGACAGACACCACCGAGGCTAAGAGCCCCACAAAAGAGCACAGAGTGGAAATTAATGTGGACAGTGCTAGTATGTCAGTGACTTCTCCTCCTCCTCCCACCTCCCCTGAGAGGAAGGGATTTGGCAAACCGCCTGGTCCGAAAAAAGAGTTCAGTGGTCCCCCAAGGGGAAGAGGGAGAGGAGGGGAAAGGTCAAGTACACATGCCCCTGGGGGGAGAGGGATTAAAAAGGACAGAAGAGAACGCAAACCTGCGGAACCCAAGAAGTACGAGGAAGCGCCACAACCGGTAAGTCCCGGCACATGTGTACTATATTCTTAGCGAGATTCTTTTGACAACGAAACTCCTTGTACCATATGATGAGTTAATAGTCGAGGAGTGTTTTCCTAAAGTTGTCGAGTAAATGGTAGGTGCTGTTGATGTAAAGGCAAGTTTTGTTCAAGCGTTCGGAGAGAATCTCTGCCCTCCGAATAAGTAACGGAGCCTGCAGATAGCGGGAAAATGGCCAAAGAAACAAAAAAAGGATTTAAAAAATAGTGATGAGTAAATGCACACAATTGATAGGCCAAAGATTTTTAACTACATAATAGGGCCATTTATACGAGGAAAAATAAGACGCGAACTTTCTGTATAAACGGCACATTTCGTCTAAAATAAGACGCGGCTTAGCTAAGACGCCTCTTATTAGATAAGACATGCTCGTATAAATGGTACAGTTCGCGTCTTATGTTTAAGACGCGTCTTATGTAAGACGGGTCTTATTTTTCCTCGTATAAATGGCCCTAATATGTCTCAATAAATGACATATAAAAGTTAAAGAAGTACTTTCGGCGTTAGATTTGTGCTAAAGAGCCCGAGTTTTCTATTTTTCTTTCGCGTGGTGTCTCTCTGAATGTTACACTCTGCTGCCTAGAGTAAAATGAGAAGATTGTGCCAAGGCGCTTTTTGAGCTACGCATGTCAACAGGAAGAGGCCGTTTGCCTTTTCATATACCTCAGATGCTGATATATCTGTGTTACTAAGTGTCTCTACTCTTACAGAGACGACTTTTTCGAAAATCTGGGCTAAACCCATACCCAAGAATGCAAACATCTCACTTCCGGTTAACGCCGTCGTTCAAAAACGTCTTTGCTCACTAATGTTTGGATGAAAGCGGAATAATGACTTCGTTTTCTTCGCTTCGCGACCGGTCGTCGTCAACAATAAACGATATTTAATGAGGAAAATGAGGCAGAAAAGGTTAGCAATGGAGAAGAGAAAGCGAAGAAAGCTACTGAGATTCTAAACCGGCGTAGCTAGTAATGCAAACAGTTTGCCCGCACTCGTCAAATATCTTATTCTCCAAAACATAAGGCAAAATGTTCTATACGACAATTTTCCTTCGTTAATTCTTCCTCAAGAATTGCGCCGTATTTGTCACATACTGTAATTCCGAAAAGAGAAAATTTGTACTATTGACAAAGACTCGTCCATAATAATCCCGAATGTGTTCCTACTATCGAACGCACTCTTCGCCTTGCTCATGAAGACATACAGTAACTTGGTCAATTAGATAGTTTATGTTCCCGGATTCAGAACATTTAACACTGAGTTGCTTTGTTGTAAGGTCATGCAAAAGTCTTGATTAGTCTATTTTTACGTCTTTTTCGACAGGTCTTTCACAAGGCAAGCAAATTCTCCGCACTTCTAGTTGACAATGAAGCAGCCGAAGAGGACACAGAACAATTTGAAGGAGAAGAAGAAACGTGATGAACGGACAATATTTGATCAAATGAATACCTCAAACACCTCACCAAGGCGGCGCATGATAACGACGGAAACCTCTGGCATTGTGTGCTCACTTCTGAGTTCACCAGCAAGCGTGTTTCATAAAAGTTGAACTTTAATATATTTTGACTTTGTGGCCTTGGTGAGGTCGCAGTAATTTTTAACTTTGATGTTATTTAAATTTATTTCATGAAGGGCATTGTCCTTTCACAGTTTTTGCCGGATAGACTTGTAATTCACAGCCTCCTTTGTGGCCCAATAATCCGTCGGTGTCTCGCAAATTACTTTGCCACGCAAGGCTTCTCTCTGCAAGTATTGCGTGACGTTGATGATCCTTAGGAAAGTGCAAGTAATACTATGAGAAAACAGCACGTGTTGCAATTGTCGCTAGGTAACCGTTGTCAAGGTTACTTAGAAATCAGTATTTTTTTGTCCATGCAAATGTTCTAAGTGGTAATCGGTTGTTGAAAAATAATCGTCTAGAAATTGTAACCTGAGCCGGTTATCCTTTAAAGGAAGGTGACAGTGAAGATTTCATTGTGAAGAAAAAAAAATTCTCGCTTCAAGGTTAACTGAAGTGTTCTTAATCGCCATTCTAAGTCATTGAAATAATGAGTTCATGATTTTATGTCATTGCAAGATAAACGTGAATATGTACTAAAAGTGAACTGTTTTGGTCTACCTTAATGTTCCGTCAAGGTTAACTGAAGTGTTCTTAATCGCCATTCTAAGTCATTGAAATAATGAGTTCATGATTTTATGTCATTGCAAGATAAACGTGAATATGTACTAAAAGTGAACTGTTTTGGTCTACCTTAATGTTCCGTCGCTTACCTTACGCTCAATGTGGACCTTAAGATGCGACGACGGCGACGGCAATGGGAACGTCAAAAAAGCAACAGGTTAAGATCAACAAAACAACAACTTTGCACGTGCATCACGCTTTTTTGTACATTTCTTTGCCGTCACAGCACGAATACGGCGTGAAAATGCCTAATTTCAGGTTTTATGGAGGACGTAAACAAGCTACTACGAAATTTTCTTTCTCTTTCTGAACTTGGATATGCTTTTTACGAATTCAACTCCCAGGGGAGTTCGCCTAAATTTGACAAAGTAAGTTAGTTGGAACTGTCGCGATGAAGATTGAATGAACGCGAATTCACTTTTTGGGGGATGTTTTCGCTGCCTTCGCCTTCCTCGGATCTTAAGGTCCCTTAAGGAAGCTGGAGCGACGCCGACGGTGTCGGCAACGAAAGCATCACTTAAAAAGTGAATCTGTTTCTTTTCAAACTTCATCGCTCTTATTCCATCTCGTTCAATTTTTCAAATTTTGGCGAATTTTTCTGAAGTTTATGAATTCCAAAAGAACCGTATCTAAGGCCTATACCAAACGTCGAACTTTTCATGAAACGATCTAAACTCCAATTTGGGTCGACCTCATTTAATTCAAGTTCGTCTGTTGGATCAGACGTCGAACGTAGGACCCGTCGAACCAATCAACTGAATCAGACCAAAAAGCAATTTTAGCCGAACGAGGCTAAATATACATTTTCAAATTTTTAATTCACTAGTTTAGTTCGTCGCATGTTAAGATCGACGTTTGTCCCGGAGACGATCTTCAGACGTCTGAAGCAGACGGATAGAACGTGTTGGACGATCCAAACTCATTCAGACGAACTTAACTGAGCCACACGTCCAACTTTTCGTGAGTTTGGTTAGTCTCATGAAAAGTTCGAGGTTTGGCCTACGCGTAATGATGGCTGAACAGTTCTGATTAATAGGGGAATTCTCTATACGACTGTGCTGGTTGGCAAGCCGGTTCTGACAAAATTAATGGTAAGTGCCCTATTAAAGTTAAGAAAACGAAAATAAAATCGTTGTATATGAGTTCTCTCATTTAAACGTGAAATGGTGAAATAAGGTATTTTCCCGTCGTAGTTATGCAACGACGGCAAAAGCGCGATGCACGTGCAGAGTTGTTGTTTTGCTTATGGGGGTTCTGCCGTCCTCGTTGCCTTTGCCGTCAAAGGCGTCCCCTTTCAGAATCGTGCCCGGTCGCTGTGTTGAATCAAATTAAAACTTAACCTGGATCGTCCGTTCCGTGTGAACCGAGCCAAAATATTAAACGGTTCCGTGTAAATGAAATATCCGGTCAAACTGTTCAGTTGGTCGTTAACTACCCTTGATAAGCAAAACAACACCTTTGCACGTGCATCACGCGTTTTTGTACATTTCTTGGCAGTCACTACACGACTACAACGTAAACTTCCTAATTTCACGTTTATGAAAGACGTAAACACAAAAACGACCACTTCCTCTTTTTCTGAACTTGTACATGGTCCTTAAGGATTGAACTTCAGGAAAATTCGCCTACATTTGACTGACTGAACGACAAGGAGTAATGGTGATTAAGCTGAAAGCAAGTTGAATCAGTTTTTATGCAACGTTTTAGCTGTCGTCGCCATCGTATTTGCGTGAGCTCCCTGGTTTAACTGGCTCAGGAGTTGTTGGAATCTCTTCATTTAAAACAGCAATGGTGAAGCAGGTCAGTTCAGACTTTTTTTCTTTTAAGATTACTCCTTTAAAAAAATCCAGATTTTCGTAATTCTTCCGATCAAATTCACTAATTGTTCATGCTTTTAAAACAATTTAAAACATGCTTACCTCTGTCGCTGCTGTCCTCGGTAACTTAAGGATTTAGACGGATGTTTAGCGTAGCACATATTCTTCAAATAGCAATTGTCATCCCTCAAATTGTATTTTTATTGTTCCTGCTATGTTTTGGGCAGTAGTTCGTTTATCTCTTCTTCTCAAAACGTGTGAAATTTTACCGCCATTTTCTCTACAGCACTGTAACTCTAACAAAACAGCTGAGGTCACATGTTCACACCATAGCGGATAGCTTCTATTCACACATAAGAACGTAGACTTTCTGAAAGTCGTTCGCATGGTTTTCTGGTCTGGTCTGGTGTGGTAGGACCCGGCATGAACTTTCGCTCGCTCGCTCGCGCTTCGCGCTGGGCGCTCGTACGATCGCGCTTCGCGCTCACCGTCGCGCTACGCGCTCAAAAGCTCGACTTGTGAGCAAGTCTAATAAGAACGGTGATTTCGGCGCCATCGAAGCTGCGCCGCGCCATCTCTACAGTAGTATAGAGTCACATATCGGATAGGTGTTCACACAAAACTGGATATTACTATAGCTTCTCGTATCGGCACAGAAAGCTATCCGGCATAGAGAGTTTTCACATGAAGTCACAGCAGCCATATTGGTCAGTCCAAGACAATGAAACGGCGGCCATGTTGGTGTTCCAAAGCAGTCCCCTCGGAGTTTACTTCTCTTCTTATGCAAACGTTTTCTTTTGTTCCAGTAAATTTGCATAGATGCTGGCCACAGGGGAGAAAACCCTGAGGGGGTGTGGAGGAGGGGGGGGGGCGTTTATTAGACAAGAGGCGTTTATTGTAATTACCGTTAATGATCTAATGGCCGCCATTTCATTGTTTTGGAACACCAATATGGCCGCCGTGACGTCATGTAAAAACGCTCTATAGTGTGAACAGAGCCTGAGTTTACGCAACCTCGTCCCAGGACTTTTCGGTTGCCATGCCCTTTTGACCCCATTTTATCGAATATGGCAATTTGGTCAACTGTTTAGCTGGATATGAAGAATTAGCTGGGGGACTTGAGTCAATCAAAAATGACTGGGATGACTGAGACGACCGGAAGAACTGGGATGATTGAGACAATTGGGATGACCCAACCTCATTCCCAGGGTTCTCTCCTACCAGTCCCTACGGAGCGACTGGTAGAAGAGAAAACCTGGAAACGAGGCTGGGGATGAACGGGACGACAGATTTGACTGGGATGACTGGAATGACCGGGATGAATGGGATGGCTAAGATGACCGGCACGACCGGGAGGACAGGGAAATAGGATGACCAGGATTAAGCCTGTCCGTAATATTGCTTTTGGCAACTTTTGAGCAACTTTTGCCTTTCTGAGCAATTTTAGTTGAGCAAAATTAGGTTTAGAGCACATATTAAACTAAAAAAAATTCAACGATTTCAGAGAAAACTTCAAGCTATGAGAATTTCTCAGAGTGTTTATCCACAGAGAGGTAAGCTTATGAGGAAACATTTAATGCACATTTCAGTCGATAAATTATATAAATAAAGAATTATTATTATACAACGTCACAGAATTTCTTATTGTTTTCTTATGAATAATTACTTAGCTAAGAAGTATGTTGTTCAGGCCTGTTATAGTGACTTGAGCTACTTGTGATTAATTCGTCCATATATTTGCGAGCAACTCTTTTAATGTAATTTTCAAGCTTTTTTTCTTGACCGACGTAAGCCATTATTGTGTAGAACGGAGATCAAAGCTTTTAATTAACGTTAAAATTTGATAAATCAAGAAATTTACGTAGCAACTTTTTGGATTTTTAGCAATTTTTTTAGCAACTTTTTGGCATAACAGTAAGCAACTTTCCGATATTTTACGAGCACAATCGGGACAGGCTTATAGGTGATACCTTGTGACAGCCTGGGAAGGAGGTACTCTCTATAATAGCCTGTACGGGAAGGCTCCGCCCCCGAAGGATTAGCCTGCGAGCAAGCTCTCCTATTTGGGCGAGCGAAAATTGAAGGATATGAAAGGATAGGGAAATCTGACACTCGGCATTATTTGAAAAGGGTTTTAATTAAGTATTTTAAAAGGCGTATTCATGAATCCGAAATAATAAGAAGACTTCGTGTTTTAACAATTTATTGATATTCAAAAGGCGGGCCAGTAACAGCAGTTACAAGGAATGCAGGGTTATTTTGTAGAGATGTGAAATGGGAACCATTCGTCAATGAAAGATGCAGTTGAATCTTAGCTCTCCACAACCGCCATCTTTAGACAGAAGAAAGTTGTTGTTGTAGAGAGGTGGCTGTTGGAGAAAGGTTTAAAGAAGCGTCGATGAACGGACTGTCCGCCAAAA